CTTTTGTGATGGAGCAGGGCCTGCAAGACAGGGTGACGGCGGCCTTTGTATAAAAAAATAAAAGGGAAAACCTCAAACAAAAATATAAAGTAAGATCATGTTATTTCTAATACAGAAATCAGTTGACATTGTGCTGTTAAAATGACTGCTTTTGTATTGTTTGTGCATTTATGTAGGATCTGAAATGTCCACAGACCGGTGTTAGCACTGAGGATGGAGAGCCCACAGCAGCATCCTGGAAGTGGTACAGGGTACAGGGCCATGATGAGGCAATTGGGTGCAGACCCTCCATCACTCCACCTGCCCTTACTGCCTCATCTGGCCCAGATGTTGCTGTGGCCTCTACATCCTCAGTGAGCCCAGCCCCAGACACACCAAGGGCATCAAGGAAAAGAACCCGGAAATCAGTTGAGAATCTGATCAAGGAGATGGAGGAGAGGGAAATGACAAGAGAGCAGGAAGCAGTCGAAAGGGAGGAGAAAAGATGGAGAGAAATGGAGGAGAAGGAGGAGAGACGAGAACGAGACAGACAAGAGCGGGAGGAGAGACGACATGCTGAGGACAGAGAAAGAGAAGAAAGGTGGCACCAGGAAGCAAGTCAAAGGGAGGAAAGATTACTTCACCTCCTTGAATCTATTGCAAATAAATATGTATATTTAAACATGGATTTTTGTTTAGAACAAACATGTTTGAAATGAGAATTTAATTTCACACACACACACACACACAAGGGAAGGAAATGAACTCTGCTGGACAATGACCCTTCATAACCTATGTTGAGACTGTTTGCACAAACCACCTTCACTTGCATTAACTACACATAGTAACAGTGCTTAAAGTTCACCCAAACATACGCTATAAACTCATTATTTACTTCACTTCATGGAGTTCCAGCCCTCTAGTTTTATTTCTGAACATTAAATGTGATTTTGGTCAAGTATGTTCTGTTGGTTTCTGGTCATACAATATTGGCCAATAAAGCCTGACATTTAGAAGCCTCAAAAGCATCAACAAATAGTGTAATGAACAAAAACAGAGGGATCAAACGACATGAAAGTGAGTAAATAATGACTGAATTTATATGTTTGAGTGAACAAATCTCTAAAATAAAAATATTTTATGAAATGTATATAAATTTATATAAGCCTGTAGTAGTACCCTAAAGAAATAAACTAAGATGACAGAGACACTTTCAAAAAAGGATTTACTTAGGAATACAAATCACATTTATTTTTATGTATGTATTTAGTAGACATTTTTATCCAAAGTGACTGAACCGGTTTTAATCTTTCACAGGTAGTCATGCTCATGGAGAGCAGGCACACAAATGTTTGGAGCAGACACAGCAGCAGACAGATTGTCTCGCACATGTTCTCCCCCTCTTGGTTCAAGGTTGTGGGGTTCAGGGGGGCCGTCGTCATGGTCTTCCTCCACTTGCTCAACGATGTCCCCATTGACAAGAGCGAGACTGTGAAGCACAGCACAGCATGCAACAACCTCAGGCATGAAGACAGGGCTCACCTCCAAGGCCTAGAAGAAAAGGGAGCGCCAGCGTGTTTTCATCATGCCAAAGGCTCGCTCTACTATGCTTCGTGCACGGGAGTGCTTGCTGTTGAAACGAGCCTGCCTCTCTGTATGGCCGTGCTTGCTGTTGAAACGAGCCTGCACAGGGTTCTGCACAGGCTCTCTGTATGGGGTGATGAGGCAGATGGGTGCTCTCAGGCAAGGATAGCCACCATCCTCGAGGATGCACTTTCCTGCAGGTGGATATAGGCTG